TAGGTGGGCTGAGATTCGATCTAGCTGTAGAAGTCCGACTGGAGCGACCAGACACGATGCATAACGCCATAGAGGTAGCCCGGCGGCGAGAAGACCATCTAGTCGCTACGCGAAGGGAACAGGCAGATGTGCGATTCACGGACACGCGACGCACGGGGCCGAGCCAGGCAACGGCCAGCGCACGCCCGAACGTCAACAATCGACCGACGGGGTTGATAGTAAGGCGGCTGTCTCCCGAGGAAGTTAAACGTCGACGCGAGAAAGGCCTATGTTCTAAGTGTGAGGAGAAATTTACGCCAGGTCATCAGTGTAAGCAAGCTTTTGTGATAGAAGTTGCTAACCCTGATGAGGAAGGATCTAAGGCCGAGGAAGAGTTACATCAGGATAATGAAGTTGAGGGGCCCGGCGAAGAAGCAGAAATCTCGATGCACGCAATGGCCGGGGTTAGAGGGCCTCGAACAATGCGATTGCCGGCCTGGGTCAAGGATCGGAAGGTGATGGTGCTCGTGGACAACGGGTCATCACACAACTTCATCAATGCCGACTTGTCCCAGAAGCTGAACTTACCAACCACGAAGATTGAGCCTTTTGAGGTACGAGTAGCTAATGGTAAGAGGCTGCAATGCACTAAATCTTTCCGGAAGGTGCCAATCAGGTTCAGCGGAGTTACGGTGAAGGCTGATCTCTATGCCTTAACTTTGGTTGGGCCGGATGTCGTCCTAGGGGTACAGTGGCTCGAAGGGTTAGGCAAGGTGACCACCGACTATCGAACGGGAATTATGGAGTTCAACTCCGGAGGTCAGCAAGTCACTCTGAGTACTGGCAATGAAAAAGGTACCAAGGAAGTAGGACTTAAGAGCATTGAGAAAGTTTGGCGGGGTGGAGGCCAAATATTTGCAGTAGTGGTAGAGAAAACTGAGGCAAACATAGACCGAAAAGAACAACAGCAGGGAGATGTGCGCGAGCTTCTCAAGGATTTTGAGGGAGTACTGGGCGAGCCTAAAGGACTACCCCCACATCGGGAGTTCGATCATCGCATACCACTGATCAACGAGTAACACGCCATACACGTTCATCCTTATAGGTACGCGCACTTTCAGAAAACCGAGATTGAACGGCAAGTGGCCGAGATGCTTGAGTCAGGACTAATCCAGCATAGCAAGAGTCCGTTTTCTTCTCCAGTCCTATTAGCCAAAAAGAAAGACGACACGTGGAGGTTCTGTACTGACTACCGAGCTCTGAGCGCCGCAACTATCAAGGACCGATTTCCTATCCCTAGTGTCGACGACATGCTCGATGAGTTAGTCGGGTAATGCTATTTCTCAAAACTCGACCTGAGAGCTGGTTACCATCAGATTCGACTCCACCAGGCCGACATTCCAAAGACAGCATTTCATACGCACCAGGGGCACTATGAGTATCTGGTCATGCCATTCGATTGTGCAACGCCCCATCCACTTTTCAGTTCGCTATGAATTCTATCTTCAAGGAGTATCTGAATAAGTTCGTTCTGGTATTCTTTGATGATATCCTGATCTATTCGAAGTCGTGGGGCGAACATCTTGTGTAATATCCTGTCAGTTTATCAGTATAAATTATGTTTTTAATTCCGATATATTAATATTGTCGAGTATTAATTTTTGGAATTAATTATTTCAGTCATTTCAGTCGAGATTACCGAAAAATTATTTTCGACGTTCCGTTTACGTTCGGAATACTTTTGGTAATTAAGCAATATGTTTAATCAAATAATTAAACATGATTAAGTGATTAATTAGCAATTAATCACGAGTTAAGCCATAAAGCTGTATGGGTTTTGTTCTAAATTCATTCCTAATACCGTAGCTTTTCAACATAGGAAATAATCCTGCTTTTTGAGTTTATACGTGTCATTATGTGGCATAATTAGGTGATTAGTCACCTAAGAAGGGTTATTGTTGCTACAACTGTCATTAGATGGAGATGGCCACCAAGGTCTCATGCTTTTTCCCTGTCGGCGTCGTGTGTATATAAAGAGGAGTGTTTGGGAAATTTTTCCCATATTTCTCCACATATAGCTAAGTTCTACATATATATACACATATACTAGAGAGGAAAGGTGAGGGTTGAGAGAATTCGAAGCAGTACTCCACGGCAATCAGCACACACGCACGGCAGCCAGTCGCACCGCCGAGCTATCGCAAGCACCCTATCGCACGCAATGGCCCGACGAAGAAGCAGAAATCTCGATGCACGCAATGGCCGGGGTTAGAGGACCTCGAACAATGCGATTGCCGGCCTGGGTCAAGGATCGGAAGGTGATGGTGCTCGT